AGGTGAGGGGAATGCATGAATCTGGCTTTAAAAAGATAAACATTATCTTAATTTTAATGTGCAAACAGACGGGTGGGGCAGCGGGGAGACATCTGAAGTTCTCACTGCTTTTTCTCTCTGCCACTGCCCGCTGTCTCTGTTGTGGGGCACACCAGACATTACCACAGCATGGATGAGTTCAGCCACTATGACCTGCTTGATGCCAACACCCAGAGGAGAGTGGCTGAAGGCCACAAAGCAAGTTTCTGTCTGGAGGACACATCCTGTGACTATGGCTACCACAGGCGGTTTGCATGTACTGCACACACACAGGTAGGTTGGCGTCATCAAATCAGGCATCTGCAGGCTTCAGAGAGAAAACAAAGGGGTCTTCTATTTTCTTTCCTCCCGCCTGTCTTTTACAAACTGCCTCATTTAGGGGTTATCTAGTCAACATAGAAGATAATTGAGAAAACAAAAGTGAAGGCTTGATGATCCAAATTATTTTGAAAGTATTTTATCATCACAGAAGGTCACTGCAGGCTCATTATGTTCCACAATCAAAAGCAGTACTTTACTCTCTGAAAAAGTCTGAATGGTTTCCATATCTGCGCTCATTCTGTATTCTTTCACCGGCTTGGTAAGTAACTGTAGAAAAGATACCTGTTTTCCTACCTGCAAAACCTAGTATGCTAAAAATAGGATACCCGGTGATTATGGTTAGCAAAAGGAGAGAAAGTAGGCTTCTTAAAAAGCACTTTAAAAAACTGTCTCTTTTAATCATGTAAATAAAAGCAGAAGGATACAATTTCTTTCTTTACACACATATCTTTAAGACTACAGTATAATTGATGTCAGATGTTCTTTGGATGAATTTTTAAAAATCATGCTGAACTAAGCAATTTGTGTGTCCTATAATGGGAAAATCTGTGTCAGTTCAAAGCCATGCCAGTATTTCCATAAGAAACTCTAATTTGTAAAAGGACATTATAATTTTACTCCTGCCGAAATCTTGGCAAGGAGTAGTGAGTGTATATGTCTCGGAGCAAGGGGAAGCAAATTCCAGGGCTGTGGCAGGAAGCCTTTGGTGACCTAACTGTTACTGCTGCTTCTTTCTCTAAGCTTAGAATATGAGAGCAATTGGAGGGGGTAGGGTTCAATTCCATGTGCCCTGAGGCAACACTTATTCTTTAAGCAAAAGAAGATGTAAACTACCCATACCTTACAGATGTGCGTCTATAGAAATTCCTTTTCACTCTGAGAGGCCCACAGGACCTGCCTGTGAAGGGACCTAATTCATTGTTTTTATTCAGAAAGAGGAATTGTGAATAGCTCACTGCTGAAATACATGAATCTAGGACTACAGGTATTTATAGCACTTCTAATTTCTTAATTCTTGGGGTCACCCCACTTCATTTTGTATGGTAGCTTTCCCCTTAACCATCTCATTTATGTCCTATTAACTGCTATTCACCAGGTCTCATATTACAAGCAATTTGTGTTTTTCACTTAGACTGGCATATCATTTAAAGAAAAAAATAATTCTCTCAAAACCCCAATATTGACTTAGAATAGTTGTATTATAATGTTGATTAAATGTATCCAAATATAAAACTAGATATAACTTCCTTACATTTATACTTTCATAAAAAAATTATATGTTAAATATATTCAAAACTAGAAACTATCAGATTAACTTACTGTATCAGTTGTGTTTTGCTAAAACCAAAACAGCTAATTTAGACAGCCTCAGGTAAGGTTCTACATTTAATCTGGTTTTAAAGCATGACTTTGAATATATGAAATACCTGTTTCCTTAATGGCTTTAAAAACGCCCACATTTGTTTGCTAGTTCAAAAAACCAAAGCTCATACTTAACTTCTGTCAGCTGAGTCATGCTAGAGTACCAGTTTCAGCATTCTTTAAAGCTCTTTTATTTACCTGAAAGTAATATTAACATTGTAGCACTATTTAACCCTGGATTAAAGAGATATCTATTCCAATGACATCCTTGTAATGCCATAAATTTAGTAGTAGCAACAGCAACAACAATAAGAGCTAACACTTATTAAGTATTTATTATGTGCCAGAACAAATGATATGCTGGGATAAGAAAGCAAAAATTATTCTATTACATATTTATTCCTCAACATACTGTTAATGCATTGGTATGAGCAAAGGTGGGTACATGGTTCTCACTGCTGTGGCACAGGTACTTCTGAGTGTGGCCTGTCCATGCTACATTGTATGTGGTATGAGAGCACAATTCTTCCTCTTTCTCCCCAAATCAGGTTATCATCAAACCAGCACTAGTAGGACACACTTAGATGATTTTGCCATCTCTCTGGCGACCAAGGTGATCTTAAGCACCAAAGCAATTTGGGGTGCTGAAATTAAATTGCAGTATTGAGTTAAAATGACTCCAGCATATGCTTTTTAATTTACTTTAGATTACCATTAGAATGAAAATACAACAGTAAAAATTCTTGTGAAGAACTAATAGGTTCTGCACCTACAGACTTCAGTATGAACAAACTTCTTCAGACTATAATTTTCCGGAGAGCAAGGACTGTATCTCATTGGTATTCTTCTCCTCGCAGCCTGTAGAAGTCACTCATTTATTTGCTGACATGAATACCTTAGCAAGTGAAGTGAGGTGGGATGTGTACCTTGAGACATACATTCATCCCTTTAATTCAACAAGATACTTCAGTGACTATGTGAGAAAGGGTACAGTGTGGTGGGGAACATCAGAGACTCTGGATCCAAATGTTTAAACTCAAAACCAACTCAGCTACTTATAAGCTACATATCTTCCACGAGTTATTTGACCTTACTGTGCCTCAGATTCCTTATTTATAAAATGGGGATAATAATAGCACCTGCCTCATGTAGTTCTGGGAACTGAATTTATGTTTAAAATGATTCCTGGCATGTAATACATAATTACTGTTAGCTATTCAAAAATGCAATCATAGACCTTACCCTTAGGGAGCTTACAACCTTTAGTTAGATGTTTTTATATAGTATGACTAGAGGCCCAGTGCACGAATTCGTGCACGGGTGGGGTCCCTCAGGGTGGCCTGCGGGGATCAGCAAAACCCACAGTCCAACACTGCCTGCAGCTTCTACCTGCCGCTCCCTCTCATCCCGGCCCCACTATGCCTGCCTAGGGCTTGCACCCAATTAGTCCCGATTGGAAGAGGTTCGCACCACCATTGCAGTGCTAGTCATCTGTGAGCCCTGTGTCTGGCACTCTCCCGAGGGGAGTGGTCTGTGGGATCAGGCCGAAACTGGCTCTCCAACATCCCCCAAGGGTTCCTGGATTGCGAGAGGGCACAGATCCGGCTGCAGGACCCTACCAGTGCACGGGGCCAGGGAGGGACTGCAGGAGGGCTCCACGGCGTGTCTGGCCCATCTCGCTCGGTTCGAATCAGCCGGACCCCATCAGCAAGCTAATCTACCAGTCAGAGCATCTGCCTCCTAGTGGTCAGTGCACATCATAGCGAGCAGTTGAGTGACTAGAATATCATTAGCATATTACACTTTGATTGGTTGAACAGTCGACTGGTCACCAAACGACCAGACACTTAGCATATTAGGCTTTTATTATATAGGACTAGGGACCCGGTGCACGAAATTCGTGCACTGGGGGGGGGGGAGGGGCCCTCAGCACAACCTGCCCCCTCTCACATACTGGGAGCCCTCAGGCGTTGACCCCCATCGCCCTCTAATCGCAGGATCGGCCCCCTGCCTGGGCAGGGGACCCTCATTTCCCCCCTTCACTGGTTCTGCCCCCAGCCCAGGCCTGATGCCTCTGGCCCAGGATTCAGGTCTGGGCAGGGGACCCCACTATCCCCTCCTTCTCCGGCTCCTCCCTTGCCCAGGCCTGATGCCTCGGCCAGAGGAATCGACCCCCATCACCCTCCGATCGCCTGATCAGCCCCTTGCCCAGGCCTGACGCCTCCGCCAGAGGTGTCAGGCTTGGACAGGGGAACCCCATCTCCCCCCATC